AGAGCAAGCTGTGAGACAGTCCAGATCGACTCTTGGTTTCCCCACATGAGCCTAGCAAGAACAGCAAAGGTTTGAAATTTTAGAAACATGCGCAAGTGTGAAATGTGCTCACTGGGGCTATCCTTCCCTGCCTAGGATGGGATGCACACACACAGTCTCCATGGCTCCCCACAGCTGTAAAGTGCTGCTGCCATCTCTGGAGCACTCACCTTCTCTGGCACTGAATTTCCTAACCCTGTCCAGGTGGTTGTTGTCAACTCAAAAAGAAAAGAGGCTTCAAGTGATGAGTCTGGTTTTACAGTTCCCAGTGGATGTGCAGAAAGGGTCATTTCATTACGTCTCTGAAACCCCTGGGGTAGTTTCATGATTGCAATTTTCTTGCCTCACCATTACCACCTAACCATACCACAGGTGTGACAGTGAAAATAATAATAATGTTATGGTCAGGGTGTGCCATGGAAAGTGGGTGAGGTTTTGCAGCACATTAGTGGTTATTCTCCTGTGCCCAGGGCAAATCTGGAGTTGCTCATCCTCCAGCTAAGAGAGAGGCCATGGTGGCACAGGGTATCAGGGTAGTCAGGACAGGGAACAGCACAGCGATGTGTTCGTGGAGCCTTTTTCAAGCACAATGACACCCATTCAGACAGTGGAGAAGAGACACTGTCAAAAGACTGTTGCTCTGGTTTGTCAAGCCATAGTTTGACCCTCATAATGCAGACAGCAACTCTGTTCTTAAAGCTGGACTATGTCCTCCAGGATACACCACCATTCTACCCTGCAACATCTCAGTGGGGAAGCAAAGGCAAGACTTGGGTCAAGCCCAGTTTTTCGATTGAAAACAAAAAAGAGCAAATTCAAGAAAGCCCCTCACGTGCTGAGCATCTCAATGTCAGGTTTTTTTGAGCCACTTTTGCTCCTGAGAAAAAAGCAGTAGAAAGGCAAAGGGTCTGCACTGGCTGAGGCTCCATCAGTCCCCTGAGCCAGGGTTGTCCGTGCATCTCTGTACCTGGGCTCCTTCGCACAAGCCACTTTCTTGGGTTCTGCAAGTTCTTGTATTCTGTCAAATCTGCAGAAAAGGACAAATGTGCCATTAAACACAGTTAAACCTACAAAGCATAAAGAAGTTGAGTACTGCTGTACTCAACACTCTCAACCCCTGTGCCTTTGCCTCCACTCCCTGCAAGAGTGCATTTAAGGCATATCTCTCTCTAAATAACTTTCAATCCCTTTAATCTTGTGGACTTGACAGTGGATTTTTGTGCTATCTCTTGGATTGCAGAGACACAAATTTGCAATTCTGGCCTCACTGCAAGGTCCCTTTGGGACACGGCAGAGAGAGGGGGAAGGAACGTTTCTGGTTAATAACCCCAGCAGGTAGGAGGCAGATGATCAGACGAACAGAAACACATGTTATCAACACTCTTGTGGTTTACTAAAACACTCTATGGAGAAATCTCTGCTCCCACAGGGCTTTGGGAGTACAGGTGGAGACATATTTTTTGATTTATCATTTTATCTGTCCATTTAGTACAGAGGTCTTAGGTGCTATAGAGACATAGGAATATACACAGTATGTACCCTAGGAGCAGCACTGAATATGTTTTTACTGACTATTCATCAGAGCAAAACCTTTCAGGAAGATCAGGTACAGCTGTCTGCTCCTGCTGCTCAAGAGTTCCAGGCCTGAAATCCCAGTGGCTGGGAAGCGCCTGTGCTTTGCGACCCTGGGTACAAAGAGAAGGACGAGACGACACTAGTGCCACCAGTGCATTGCACAACTCCCTGGTGTCATAGACTCAGCCTATGCCACCCACTGGGGCTGCAGGTGCCTGCCCCCAGCCAGCTGGGGAACAACCACAAGATGTGGGCAGCTGTGGAAGCACCCCACCGTGGAAAAAGCACAGAAAGTGAAAGCCTGGGGCGCTGCTTCCCTGCTTAGTATCACCTGGCAATAAGGCACTGTAGCCCTAGAAAGAAGCAGAAACACCAACAGAGAGAGATGTTTGCTGACAGAAGAAAGAAACATGCTCTGGGGACACAACTGTGGTTTATTTGATGGGGGTGATACCTTTAGTGAGACACTGAGCCCCAGCAAACACTTGCCAGAGAACTCAGCACCAGAGACCCTTGCAATGGCAGGCTCCTGTTAGATCATTCTTGCTGCACACTCCCTGCGAGATGCCTGCTGATTATCTCCCCATCGCACCAAACCACTGGTCACAACACTGCAAACATCGTGGAGATCCCACAGAGGGAACTGCCCGTGGGACTCTGGCTACCTGCCACCAGTTCAAGATGGGACATGCTCAGGAAGGCAGCCGTCATTTCAGGAGTCAAAAATGCATTTCAGCTGTTCATTCCCAAGCGGCATCCCAGAGGCTTTTCCTTGCAAAGGTGCAAGGGGGTGAAGGATTACCATGCAGAGGTGTCCGCCCAGCCTAGCTGTGTCACAGACCTGGCATCCTCTCTCTGCAGGCAGGCTTATTGCTTTTCCTCCACTGCTGGCACAGATCCACCACATAGCCACAGCCAAACACAGCACCAAGTGCATGTGGCCCTAGTGCCCCACATCGCTGGCTTGGACAGTTCTGTGCAAAGTTTGGATCATGACCTAGCCAAGGAATGGGTCACACATACATCCAAATCAGGTCCCTCAACAACCCTTGGGGAGCTTTTGCCGTCTGGTCTGGCTTGTGCTTTCCAGTAGGGAAAAAGGGGCCTTGTTGCAGCCAGACAGAAGAAATACCTCCCCTCCATTGCCCAAGCTTACACAGACTCATTGCTTCAGGGGCATCAGCTTCCTTTGAGATCAATTCCTTATAAAGCAAAGGGTTACAGCTTCCATTTTGGAAGGGCAAGACAGTAAGACGTTGTTTGTCATGAGAAGCATGGGGAAGGGGAAAACCAGGCATCACTTCTTCTGTGTGCTTATCAGTGTCATCCTATACATTGACTTGTTGCTCAGCATAAATCCCCGACCGAGCCCTTCCCAAAAGAGCAAGGGCATAGCCTGGACACCCAGCCAGGAGGCTGGGGCTGGGAGGGTTTCTTACCTGTTGGGCAAGCGTGCAGGGAAGTAACGTGAAACTGCAAAGATAAGAGGTGGATTTAAAAGCATGGCAACAGTCGCAGCCTGGGCTGCCTGCTCTTCAGCTTGATATGAACACAAGGCAGATGAAGTTTGTGCATCCCATTAGGATACCTGTACTGTATCCTTAGGATACTGGTACTGTTTTTCCCTGGTACTTTCCTGGTGCAGCTGCCCAGCAATGCACTGGCACCTGAAGTGCTCCTCTCCCGTGGTTGCTCCTCACCGGGGTCAGGACAGAGCACCCTCAACACACTGTGTTGAGTGTTCACCCTCCTGTGCACCAGCACCCTCCTCCTGTGATGATCCCCAGCAGTCACTGCTAACCCATGGGCTCCCAGTTGGCTCAGTGTGGCTACCTCTTATCATCACTCTCAATAACTTCAAGGGGAGGTTTTGAGAGCCCTCAGTGGGACAGAGACTCGACGGGTGGACAGAATGAGCTGCCACGTTTCGAAGTGAAAACCAGAGACCCGGCAACACCAGCACTGGGGGGGAAACCAAGCACCATTTCGGGGAGCCCCACGTCCCCGATGGTGGCAACGGCCCGCCATCGCTTTTTTTTTTGCCCGGCAGCTGCTGTCGGCTGCGTTGCTCTCTGCTGTACGTGGAGCCCTCCCCACGGGGAGCAAACCCGAAGCGGGAGGAGCTGCCCCTTGCGAGGGCCGCAGGTCCCGTCCACGTCCACCGCAGCGCTGCACGTCCGCCGGCATGGCGCGTGCTCCCGTCGCAATGGCAACAGCTGCTGAGGGGAACGAACTCACCGCTCCTCTGCGGCCGCCAGCGGGCCCGGGGAATGAGAACCTGGTTGCCGGGGGAGGCCTCAGGCCAGCGGGCAGGGGCAGCCGGGCACCCGGTCTCTGCAGGTGGGTGAAAAGACCCGCTTGCTGTCTTGGAAGGGCCTTGGGGGCCTGCCGCAGCACTTCTCCGTCGGGTAAATGAAGCCCAGACCACAGTGGTGTAGGGTAACATTGTGTGCTTTATGCATCCGTTCCAAAGGACAAAACTATAAAACCCTCCTACAGTAAATGCGGTTGAAAAACAGATCCTTTACAGAAGTGCCCGGATCCTAGATCACAGTGTTGGAGTATAATTAGGTCAGCGACTCAACTTCCTCACCTGCTGCAATACCAGGAATCACTTTCAAAAAACAACAGGTTTTTCACGTGTAAAGTGCTTGCTCCAGGACAACCTGCACTAAACCAAAATAAGCCACTCAACCTGATGGAGAAGTCTCCCCCCCCCTTCCCCCGTGCCAATTTAACTTGAATGCATTCAGTTGCTACCTTGAATTACACTGTTTTGGTTTTTCGCCCATAGGCAAGGAAACAATGTCTTATTGCTTTCATTTTCATTTTCTTACCACTAAAGAAGCAGTTACCAACCCCATTTCTAGAGATAATAATTTGCCACTCCCTTAAAAGCCAGCAACAACAAAAATCGTCACTGTCAAAAATACTGGTCGCAGCATTTTATGTTTCTGACACTCCAAAGAAATGAGGTCTCATTTTTGACAGAACAACGCTGTTTACAGGGTTCTGTAAAACCTGTAAACAATTTATGCCTGAGACATCAAGCCAGGTTAAATTCACTGGATATGACTCTGTTCCACTGAAGTCAGTGTTTGATTCTCGCCTGGCAAGAAGCCATCTAAGCTATCCATGTCCTTAACTCTGCTGCCCAAGAGACTAATTTTCCCCTACAAATACTCTAAAAAATAGACTACTTTTCAAACATATTTTCAAACCACTATAAATTAGTTTTTCTTACCAACTAGACATCACTTTCAGAGGAATTTCACACCCACAGGGAAAAGATACCTGTACATTTCGGTCACCACATGGCAAACTGACCCTAACACTGACACCTCATCATCCTCAGCTGCAAATATCATGCTGTAGGAAAAGAGCTGTCACTGTGCATCCAGAACCAGCTGCGCTATCAGCTCCTTGGCATCGTTCATGCTGGAGGAGATCTCGGAGCCATCCTCTGCCACGTGGGTACCAATCAAGAACATCTTCCTCTCGTCCCCAATATCAGACAGTGCCAGAGCATCGTGGATATCGGTGATGCAGTATGCACCTTCAAGGTCCTGACACACAAAAACAAAACAAGCCTGTTAGTTGCATGAGGTGGTGGCAGCACTATCCCCGCTTTGAGTCACTGCCATTCTTCTGGCAGAGGAAGGGTCTCAAAGGCTCTGGGGACCCCATTCTTACGCAGCTTCTATGAGATCAAGTTCCCATGCCCTAAAATACTTTTGGAGAAAAAAAATGTTTCTCTTTAAACTAACTTCTTCCCAAAGAAATAAGGGTACAGTTCTGTTTCTAGTAATTCCAGTGTTTCTGTTAATAATGTAAGACTATCTGTGCAAGGCAAACAAAAGTCTTGCTGGCTCAAGACCCCAGGTGCCCAGTGCAGAGATGCAAGAACAGGGCAAACGTACAACAGCCATCCCCTGCATACCTTCAGCAACCAGTTTCTGACTTCAGGACCTTAAAAAACAGCAGTAGCGTGTGTGTTTGATGAAGTCAAAGCCCGTGTTTGCATTCAAGAGCAGCACAAAGGACTACTGGTAATGTCTCTAAGCTAATAGAAATTTATGAGGTAACAACATAGAGCAAACCAAGCACACAGCCCTCATAAAAGAAAATCTGGCCTTAAAAACCCTGGGCTGTCTGGTCATCTGACCATACCACAGGCACAATTCTATTCCAGGTATAGCACCAGTCATGGACACTTTCACAAAGATCGTAGGAGAAACCACTGCCTTGTGAGGAGAGCTGCTCTTCTCTCATCCTTCAGCAGCAGCACTGTCTCTGAGCAAGGACCTGCACTTTGCAAATTAAAAACTCAACCTCAGATTACTTTCATTTGTGGTCAAGAGATGTCCCAGAAAGGCCCCCAGTTCCCAGCCACATGGCCTCCTTAAAGGCAGGAAGCCTCCTTTGAAAGGCTTTGATGCTGTTTTCAGAGCTGCTCCCAGCTCAGCCAGCAGCCAGGAACTCTTACCTGCTTGTTGGCCAGAACCACCACGGGCAGGGTGGAGTTGTTCTGGAGCAGCTGGTGAAGCAGCTGTTTCGCCACAGGCAGTCGGGCATGATCAGCCGAGTCCACAACATAGATTAGCAACAGCACTTTGGGCAAGTACATCTTCCAGTATGAACGCAGAGATTCACTGCCCCCAACTGAAAAAGAAGACAGCAGCAGAGCATTCACCAAGTAATCCAAGTAATTCATCATTCCAGAGGTGCAGACAGCAGGCCTTGGGCTGAAAACCCAAGGTATGTGGGTTACCAAAAACTCAAAGTATTTTGGCTACTGTATATGGGACTGGAAATAGCTTTATTTTCCCCAGTCAAGACCCATGCAGGCATATGTGTATGCTCTGGGGGGAGAAAAACCCAAATCTCTTTCAATTTTAAGCTCTTATTTTGAGAGGATTCTTGGTTCAGTTTCTTTATGGTTGCTTTCTGCCTTGTTGATTCTTGCTCTCAAGCAAGCAGGGAGAGTAGAAAGAGGTTCAGTGCCCATAAACATCATGTGAGAATGTCCCCATATAACCTATCTCCACATGCCCATCTTATCTTAAGACAAAGCAGGCCTATAATTTCCAAAGAAGAGATTTAGATCTGAGGTGGGGAGGGCTCTCACCAGATTTGTATGACGCTAGAGACTAGTTCAAAACTCCCACAACTTTCATACTGTCAATAACCAGAGGTGCTTAGGAAGAGAAAAAAATCAAGCCCCAGCAGACTCTTTAGGCAATCCTTAGGAGAAGTCTTGGCAGAGGATACATTTCTACCTGAGCTCTTCTCTGCTGGATACAGGGGAAAACTGCAAACTTTCCAAATCAGGTCTTAAAACAATTCTGTACTGAAATCATATGCAGCAGGTTGTGTGAGATTGTTCTTCCTATCTGAGGACAAAAATAGTTTGGTAGTTTGCCAAGTTTAATAAGAGTAGGAGTAATACTAAGTATTTCAGATGTGTTTTCAGCTTTACAGGTCTTCTCTAGGCACACTGCAAAACAACTTGCTCAAGAGTACTGAGGTGCTGGAAAGGCAGAGGTAAGTCCCCCAAATGTAGCAAGTTTTCAAAGCAATACATTTGGGGTTCCCTATAATTGTCTCCTGCCTGATACAGGAGCTCTTTTCAAAACTGACTTGCTACTCAGCCTGTTTTTTTACTGCTCTCAGTGACTCTGTTCTGTTTCAAAGCAATTTTGCTTTCACTTAAGTCAAAATGACTTAGTAGTTTCAAGAACATAGAAAAGGAAGCAACATTTCCCTGCTAGAGCGTGCTCAAGTCTCAAGAGCCCCAGTGTATCTGCAGGCACAAATGCAAGTCTGCCAGTGCAGAAAGGAGACAAAGGGCTGTGACAGACACGTCACATTTGGGACAGATGCCTCTGATTCGGTACTGTGACATTGTGGGGGCTCACCACCGTTCCCTCTGTTAAGTGCATTCATGCATAGCATAACCCAGGAGTCAGCAACCTCACAGAGAACGTTTTTCTTTCCCAAACCAGTAGGAACTCTGCAGATGCCAGGAGCTCCTATCCCTTGAGAAGGTAAGATACCACCTGCTTATCTATCTGATGGAACAAAGAAAAAGACAGTTTTTCTATCTGTCTAAGCCAGGAAAATAAAACCCCTGCTGTCCGCTGATCATCTTGTGCCATGTGATCAGCACAGGCTG